GGGTCAATTCGTCATAACGCTTCGTGTTCAAAGGTCTAACAATTACTTCTCCTGCTTTAATTTTGGCGATCACATCAGCAGGCAGCTTTTGAATACGAGTAAGAGGTGGTGAAGGCTCCATTACCTTGCAAAAAAGTAATACTGCAGATTATAAATCTCTGAAATTAAATAAAAATACGGAAAATAAAAATTAAAGTGAATGAAACAAAAACCAAAGAGTAAATAAAATTTGATGCTGGCGCTCTTTAAATCATCAGGAATAAAAACCTTGGCAACAAGAAGTGGACCGCCAAATACAAAAACTTCAAGTTAATTTGAAAACATAAAGTGGTGAAGAAGTTGAACAATTTCAGTTACAATGATTCTAATGAAGAAAATAATTTCACAAATCACGTAATTGCCAAATTTTGAATTAAAAATGCACTCAAGTTTATTATTTTCCAAATACATTGTATTCCATGTTTATTTAAACATCCAAAAAGCATCTTCTTGAAGACTCGAAGAAACGCATACATTTTGTCAAATTTGAATATAAAAATTTGACATTTTCTAATCGTGTTAGATTTATTTTTTGAGTGTTTTAGAAAAAGTTTATGGCTTGAGTTTAGATGTATTCCGCTAAACATTAGTCCAAGTAAATACCAGAATTTATTTCTCCATCAAGGAGAGGTACAAAGTATTTCGTTTATAAGAAACTTTTTGATTTTAGATATAATTTTTATCCCAATCTTCTTGTCTACGACCATACCAGTCTGAAAACACCGGATCCCGTCCGATCTCCGAAGTTAAGCAGTTTCGGGCCGGGTTAGTACTTGGGAGGGAGACCACTTGGGAACCCCCGGTGTTGTAGACTTTTTTGCTTCTACTTTTCTTAATCAGTTTGTGCAACTTCAAATATTAGTAATATTGAAAGAGAGATACTTTGATTTGCTATAACTGTTGTTTTAAATATCTTATATCTGTTTCAGAAACTTATTTTAATACTGAGTACCCTTTTCATGCAATATTAAAAATTTCACGGTAATTTATTTGTGATTGTAATTTAATATTTCTCTTTTTTACGTGTTTCAACCTGTTTTTACCTTTTTTATTTTCAACTTTCTCAGTTTCTTAAGCCACGCTGTGATGAATCGGGTTTTGAAGAGTTCCGTCGCCCTGATTTTGAGGTTGATGCGTCCTATCATGGTTTTACCTCTGCGTTTTTCTGCCATTTCCTGGTAAATAATGAGGATTGGTAAATGAGTTTCTGGAGAACTTATCAGTGCCTTCAGTTAAACACTCAGAAATACTTTATTATGTGTGCTGAGATTGGACATAAGAACTAACATCTGAAAGCTTTTGGTTCTGGATATACGCTTGAGATAGCAAGCGATGCAGCCTGCTACAATTTGAGTAATATCATGGTGTTAGGTATAAGCATTACACTAATTCCGTATGCTTTGCTTGTTATAAAAATAAAGACGGTTTTGATTACGGGAGTTTTATCACCCATATGTTGTCGTGACACCCGTGTACAGACCACACTAATGCTCATATA